CGATGAAGACCAAATGACTGAATCTTCTCTGACACTCCCACCCAAATAGAGTGCAGTTGGGGCTAAAACAACCCCCTGGCCCCCCTCTCTTCTCCTCCCCGTTCGCGTGTCATGTTTTCATTAATTAATAAATCACAATATGGTTAAAAAAAATTTACTTTTCATAACGAACCAGCTATCACAAAACAGAATTTAATATATATTTTTTTGTTTAGGAAAGACATAGCTTTGAGTAATCAGAATAATATTATGGTTTTCACAAAACAAAGAATATGAGTGTTCTTCACTAGTCTAATATTCTTTTTTATTGCGACAACCATAATATTATTCTCATTACTCACAATGATGTCTTTCATGAATGCACAAAAATATATTGAGATTGATTATCATTTTGTACAACGTCACGTACAGGAGGGCACTCTTCATTTTTTTCCAAGGCTTCGACTGATCAACTAAATGATATCTTCACAAAAACTCATCTATCTGGTCATCACCATGATTTGGTTTGTAAACTCTAGTTGACTTCTTTAATCTCACCTTGAATTCGAGGGGATGTTGTTATGCATATTGATGAACCAGGCCCAAATGACCTCACTCATGTTGAAAGTCCAGTCTTAATTAAGAGTCTAAACTTATAAAGATCCAGTATCCAACCCAAAGGGGTCCATACCTAGTCAGGCTCGCCAAGGGAGTAAGCAGGGTCTCCAAGAGCCTTACCCAAGCTGCCTTGGAAAGGGTCAACCCCCGCGTCATCCTTTGATCGAATCTTATAGAGAGCACTGTAACTGTCTTGCCCGTTGAGAAGAGGTTGTCAGCTCCACCAAATTAGCCACTTAATTACTAACAACTCGTCCTAATCTGTTATGAAGTGACTATAAATTGTAAGTCTCTCTAACACTTAGGGGGCATTACACTCAATCGAGTACAACTCTCTTCTCCCTTTCAAAACTTGTAACTCTATGTTCTCTCTATACACTTGAAGTAATAAAATACCGGGTGACCCTAGCCATTCAAAGTGGATTTAGGTCATATTGACCGAACCACTATAAACCTTGTTTTGTTTGTGTCTCTCTTAACTACTGCATTTATTACTGTTTATCTGACAAGTGGTGTACAAACTCAATTTTGTGCATCATCAGTTTGGCTCCATCTATGGGAACGACAAAATTCTCACCAAATTACTTTCTTTGTTGTGCCTATGACGATCAACACGAAATCCATAAATCAGCCTGAAGATAATCCACCACGAGAGGAGGAGGTTGCTCCTCCACCAACCAATCAAGTTCCAAATGCATAGCAGATGCTAGAGACAATGCAACAACTCGCATCTTAGAATCAACAGATCTTGTAACTGACACTTGCTGGACAGCAAGGCGGAACACAGCCTGGAGGACATCAAGCCAGTGGAGCTCAACGCCCTAGGCGTCAAGGAGCTCCTCACTTGGGCGCCCCCTTGGGTGTCCCACACAAGGGAGCCCTCCCTCAGAACTATGAGGTAGCTCCGCCTCCTCCTCCAGCTCCCTCTTCCCATGGTAGAGACCTTTATTTTCCAAGCGAATGAGGGCAAGAATCAAAGTATAGAGCATAAGAGTCATTTCCATGACAATTTCAAAGGAGCCCCCCAATCACTAGGAAAAAAAAATTAAAGAGATGCAGAATCAATTAGGCGATGTCTTCAACGCCATGAAGGCACAAGGACCTAAGACTGTGAACCATCTCGTAAGGCGAACAGACACGCCTTTCATAGTCGAAGTGGCAACCTACCCACTTTTTCAGAAATTCAGAATGCCATCGGTGGAAGTNTTTTTTATTGCGACAACCATAATATTATTCTCATTACTCACAATGATGTCTTTCATGAATGCACAAAAATATATTGAGATTGATTATCATTTTGTACAACGTCACGTACAGGAGGGCACTCTTCATTTTTTTCCAAGGCTTCGACTGATCAACTAAATGATATCTTCACAAAAACTCATCTATCTGGTCATCACCATGATTTGGTTTGTAAACTCTAGTTGACTTCTTTAATCTCACCTTGAATTCGAGGGGATGTTGTTATGCATATTGATGAACCAGGCCCAAATGACCTCACTCATGTTGAAAGTCCAGTCTTAATTAAGAGTCTAAACTTATAAAGATCCAGTATCCAACCCAAAGGGGTCCATACCTAGTCAGGCTCGCCAAGGGAGTAAGCAGGGTCTCCAAGAGCCTTACCCAAGCTGCCTTGGAAAGGGTCAACCCCCGCGTCATCCTTTGATCGAATCTTATAGAGAGCACTGTAACTGTCTTGCCCGTTGAGAAGAGGTTGTCAGCTCCACCAAATTAGCCACTTAATTACTAACAACTCGTCCTAATCTGTTATGAAGTGACTATAAATTGTAAGTCTCTCTAACACTTAGGGGGCATTACACTCAATCGAGTACAACTCTCTTCTCCCTTTCAAAACTTGTAACTCTATGTTCTCTCTATACACTTGAAGTAATAAAATACCGGGTGACCCTAGCCATTCAAAGTGGATTTAGGTCATATTGACCGAACCACTATAAACCTTGTTTTGTTTGTGTCTCTCTTAACTACTGCATTTATTACTGTTTATCTGACAAGTGGTGTACAAACTCAATTTTGTGCATCATCAGTTTGGCTCCATCTATGGGAACGACAAAATTCTCACCAAATTACTTTCTTTGTTGTGCCTATGACGATCAACACGAAATCCATAAATCAGCCTGAAGATAATCCACCACGAGAGGAGGAGGTTGCTCCTCCACCAACCAATCAAGTTCCAAATGCATAGCAGATGCTAGAGACAATGCAACAACTCGCATCTTAGAATCAACAGATCTTGTAACTGACACTTGCTGGACAGCAAGGCGGAACACAGCCTGGAGGACATCAAGCCAGTGGAGCTCAACGCCCTAGGCGTCAAGGAGCTCCTCACTTGGGCGCCCCCTTGGGTGTCCCACACAAGGGAGCCCTCCCTCAGAACTATGAGGTAGCTCCGCCTCCTCCTCCAGCTCCCTCTTCCCATGGTAGAGACCTTTATTTTCCAAGCGAATGAGGGCAAGAATCAAAGTATAGAGCATAAGAGTCATTTCCATGACAATTTCAAAGGAGCCCCCCAATCACTAGGAAAAAAAAATTAAAGAGATGCAGAATCAATTAGGCGATGTCTTCAACGCCATGAAGGCACAAGGACCTAAGACTGTGAACCATCTCGTAAGGCGAACAGACACGCCTTTCATAGTCGAAGTGGCAACCTACCCACTTTTTCAGAAATTCAGAATGCCATCGGTGGAAGTGTTTGATGGCACAAAAGACCCACTGGATCACCTCGACACCTATAAGTCTTTGATGCAATTACACAATGTCCTTGGCAAAATCATGTGTAGAGCGTTCCCGACTACTTTGAAAGGATTAGCCCGATAGTGGTTCACCAAGCTAATCCCAGCATCTATTGGCTCCTTTGTCACACTTCATCAGAAGGTGCCGCCATGAGAAGCCTATCACTCATATGCTTAGTATAAAACAGGACCGAGATGAAAGTCCAAGAAGTTAACTCACTCGTTTTAACGAGGAGGTCTTTCACATTGAGGAGCCCGATAACAAGGTCACCATCACCACTTTCTTGGGAGCCCTACGCTCATCTAGCTTTCTCTTCTCAACGATGAAGCACCCACCAAAGACCATGCCAAAATTGTGGGCAAAAGGTTAGAAATACATAAACACCATGAATGTCACCAAAGCCAAGCGAGGTGAGTCCTCACCATCATCATCACCACCTACGCCTGACTCTAAAAAAAAGAAACCATAAAGGCAAATGCATTAATAGAATCTGTGGCTGAGTTCACACCATTTAAGAAGAAAGATTGTCAAGAAGATTCAGTCCCTCAGGCGCCCAGCACTCAGACGCCCAACACCAGACGCCCAGCACTCAGACGCCCACTCAACCTCAAGTGCCTAACAATTAGGCGCCCTGATCCTTAATACTCTCCTTATCTTTATCTATTGGATTGAGCCTCCGACTTGGTCACCCTCCTATAGTCTAACCCTCAAATTCTACCTCTACTCTCATGCGAGGTAGCTTCACAATCAGTATATCTCCAATGAAGAGGCTCTCAAAAGCTTGGTCTATCTTTGCTTTTCTTTCAAGTAGGTAGCCTATCTCCAATTGAGGGGGCTCTCTCGTGGGTCGTCAAAAGCTTAGCCTAACTCCGTTCTGTTCTCAAGCAGACAACCTATCTCCAACTTAACGACTCTCTCGCATGTCCCCAAAAGTTTGGTCTATCTTTGCTCTACTCTCAAACAAACAATTTATCTTCAACTTAGCGGCTTTCTTACAGTCTCCAAAAAAGCTTGACCTATCTCTGCTCTAATCTTAAGCAGACAGTCTATCTCCAGCTTAACGGCTCTCTCGCGGGTCACCAAAAGATTGGTCTATCTCTACTTTACTCTCAAGCAGACAGCCTATCTCCAGCTTAACGACTTTTTTGTGGGTCGCCAAAAGCTTGACCTACTTTTGCTCTGCTCTCAAGCAGACAACCTATATCTCCAGGTTAGTGACACTCTCATGGAAAAAAGCTCGGTCTCAAAAGGTGTAGCTCTCTCACGAGTAATCTTGAGACTCTGTCTTTGCTCTCACGCAAGTAGTCTGCCTCTCTCTCCAGGTGATCATGTTAGATATTTTGATGTTGGAATAACATTATTTTTTGTCATCTCCAGACACACTTTTGAAACTCAGGCCGTCTGTAACCCGTCGGACTATATTGGATTGAATATCAACAATCGGGGCTCATCTTTTTTGTGTCCATCCAGCACCGTCGCCTCATTGCAGCACTCTCATGCTTAACACTAAGGGTAAACAAGGCTTGCCTGCACTTCGAGCACTAAGGATTTGACACTTGTTCCCCTGCCTAAGCTTGTCCCTAAATAGCGCTCATCCACCGTGATTAGCAAAAACGCCAACCTCTGCCACCAAGCTTGACTCACCTCGCCATCTAGTAGCGCCCAACCGCGTCCTGCCCAACGACAATGTCTCGCCTAGACGCCAAGAGCACCTTGCCTAGGGCCTCCTTTGCGCGCACAACAAGTTCGCACAACACCTCCACACTAGCGACTCCCAGCTCCAGCGCCTCCTTTGAGCGGACAACTGTCTCGCCCAAAATCTCCACACTGAAGCTGCCATGGCCTTTGGCGGCCCCGCTGCATACCTCTGTGCTAGTTGTTCCATCGCCATGGAAACCGCTCAAAGTACATCAAGGACAGACAAAACGGAATTTCTATATCAAGAAGATGAAGATTCATCAGTCAGAAGGGAGTCTCCACCACCTAGAGCTCAAGGTTCAACCAAATGCCCCTTTCTCTAAGTTTCCTTGGACACGGGGTATTGGGGGGCAAATGATGGACCAGGGCCAACTCATGTTCAAAGCTCAGTTTTAATTAAGAGTCCAAACTTATAAAGATCCAGTATCCAGCCCAAAGAGGTCCACATCCGATCAGGCTTGCCAAGGGAGTAAGTAGGGTGTCTAGGAGCCTTACCCAAGTCGCCTTGAAAAGGGTCAACCCCTACGTCATGCTTTGACCTAATCTTATGAAGAGCATTGTAACTACCTCGCTCGTTGAGAAGAGGTCGCTAACTCTACCAGATTAACCACTTAATTATTAATAACTTGTCCTTATATGTTATAAGACGACTATAAATTGTAAGTCTGCTAACACTTGGGGGGACATCACACTCAGTTGAACACAACTCTCATCTTCTTCTCAATGGTTGTAACTCTATGTTCTCCCTATACATTTGAAGTAATAAAATATCCGACAACTCTAGCCATTCAAAATGGACGTAGGTCACGTTAACCGAACCACTATAAATCTTATCTTACTTGTGTGTCTCTTAATTACTTCATTTTTTACTACCCCTCTAATAGATGGTATACAAACTCAATTTTGTGCATTTATTTGTTTGTCACATTTCATTAGATTAGGATATTTTCGAAAAGTAACATTGTTGTTTTTAGTTTAACTGCGGGACGATAACCATCAATGATATTTTTTGGACTTGTGTGACAAAGGGGGTCTGTGTGTGTGTGTGTGTGTGTGAGAGAGAGAGAGAGAGAGAGAGAGAGAGAGAGAGAGAGAGAGGTAGGTGAGAATTAGCCTAACTACACTATATTTTGGTGAGGTCGGTCAGAGAACATGATTCAGTCATTGGACCCCGGGGGCAGGCAAACCAGACCACAGTCCACGACTCCACACCCCCTCCCCTCAAATTCTCTCTCTCTCTCCAACCCCTCATATATGTGCAGACCTTTTTGAACAAGTGATAGCGATACCCATTTGATTTCTCAAGGCAAAATGAGACCAAAGATCTATCTTTTTGGAGACTCCATCACTGAAATGTCCTTTGGCGATGGTGGCTGGGGTGCTTCCCTTACTCACCACTTCTCTCGTGCGGTACATTCAAATTCCTCATCAAACACACATACGCAGAGTTTCTTTGTGATTGAAATGTTATTTTTTGGGTTTTTTTTTTGCTTTTCAAATAAGTAATTTTTTTGTGGGTTGTGGATGATGTATTGATTCAGGTTGATGTAGTGTTGAGAGGGTATAGTGGGTACAATACGAGGTGGGCTTTGAGGGTGTTGGACAAGGTGTTTCCGGCGGAGATAGACGTCGGCAACGCCGGTGAACCGCTGGCTGTGACTGTGTTCTTTGGTGCAAACGACGCGTGCCTTCCCGATAGATGCTCTGCCTTCCAACACGTTCCTCTTGATGAGTATGAGCATAACCTCCGCTCCATTGTCTCCTTTCTCAAGGTGACCTCACTTTCTCTACCCTGCGTGTGTGTGTGTTAGAGAGAGATGATGAAATTTGTCATTTCACTTTTAAATGGGATTTGTTTTTTGGGTCAAATGAGTGAAAAGAATATGAAGAAAAAATTGCTTGATTGGTTTTGGGGTGTCATTCAAGTTTTATCTATTATTTACCATGGATTATTTCATGCCTAATACTAGTCCAACCCATTTATAATTGGGCGAATTGTATTTTGTACTTGAAGGATTTAAAAATTTTCATTTTACAATGACAAAAATTAGATTTTTCGCTTTACGTTAGTTTTAGTTACTCATTCTGTCAATTTTAGTGATATGGTTTTTTGGCGAAATAAGTTACCAGAAGTGTCACATTAATATATAAAGGGTGTAATGTCAAAAATTTAATTATTAAAGGTACAAACTAAAAATTCTTAAAACTTTCAGGGTGCAAAGTGGGATTCCCCCTTTATAATTTGTGCTAATTTGGATGGACTGGTATGTGTTGTATTTGTGTGGTTAAAATTTATATGGTCTTGATCACTTTGAATTAACTGGTGGGTCCCAAAAAAAGTGTTGATTATTCATGAATTTTTACTTTTATTTTTGATTCTAGATGATAACCTAGATAAACTTTAATTAATAGAATTTGCAAGTAATCAATCTTTTTTGCTTAGTGCTGGTATGCTATTAATGTGTATGTCTTACCTACACATAATTGAATATATATATATATATATGTCAAAACTCCAAGATAGTTCAAGTGGCAACTTTTTGGGGTCAGGCTGACCATGAGGCCAACTTCTTGGATTAGATCATGAGGGATTTATCCTTTATGAATATCCTAATCTAGATGTAGATGGCTTGCCTTTGATCGGACAGGAGAGAGAATTAGTCGAAGTATTCGTAAATTGGTCTGGACATCTTAACTGATGAATCATATATATATATATATATATGTTGGTCAAGAGAGTCACCAATCAGTGAAAGTGTAAGGCTGCCCTTTGGTCATGTTGTACTAGGGGACCAAAGAGTGCAAAACAAAGTGTTCTTGAGGCCCAGATGTTGCTTTTATTGTCACTACTAGCTTGGATGTTTTTATGGTTTATGTGCTGCTAAATAATGCTATAAGTGCAGTCCCCTGTCATATTCTTTAGCCATGATTCATAATAAACAAATATTCTAATCTTTCTCTTTGATGTCTAATTTTTTTTTTTTTTGGCCGTATTGGATGTTCGTATTTATAAATCATCGATAAGCGGGTTCTACCTAAAACTTGTTTTATATATACATTCTAGTTGTGTACAAGTGGATTTTCTTAAATGTAAATTGGTTGTTTATGAGTTTTGTGACAATATTTAATCATGGTTGTAAGCGGGAGAATATTTTTTTATTTATTTTGTTTTCTCTCCTTGCGGAGAACACGCCAAGTTGATTATCATCAATATGCAACATGGAGAGTTGACATTTATTCACACAATGTTTTCTGTAAATATTTTGGTATTATGCTTGATTTGGATAGAGATAAGTACTTCCATTTGGGTTAAAGGATCATGCTCTTGATGATCAAAAACGTCACATCCTTATTGGATATAGCCTTAAAGATAATTTAGTAGCCATGTCTTCCATGGATGTACTTTTGATTTCAGTGTGAGGTGAATGAACTCCTTGCATGCTCTATGTCAACATCTCCCAATGGTGTTGGGCCTTTGTGGAGTTTAGTTTGTGTATTTGATCTGGATGATGATCCAACCCGAAATAATGTTGCGTGATTTTAATGGAAAAAATTTTTGGGTCTGTTTTGTAGCCTGGTGCGTAGGACATATAAAAACCGCTACTTTGGTGATTAGGGTTGATTTGGAACTGTATAGCCGTCCTCTGTAATCCTTCTTCTCTATAGTGAAATCTCTACAGTTTTGTGGATGTAGGCAAATTGCTGAACCACGTAAAATCTGTGTGTCTTGTTTCTCTTTGTTTTATGTTCTTGGTTTGTTATTCGATTGTGTATGTTTGTCCTACGATTTTATTCTATTGGCATTTTTGCGCTATTCATGTAGTTTGCTCTGCTAATCATTTTCTTATCTCATTTGGATGCCACTGCCTTCAAATACTTGACTTCATGTGTTAAATCTCAGCATTAAGTAGTAATAAAATTGAGTCTTGTACTGCTGCATCTTAATGCATGTAATCGTAGGTGTGAGTCGAGAGACAATTTCACTTTGTAAGGTATTCTTGGATCAAACATACAATGGACTTATGGACCAACATATGTTTTGAGGCTTAGCTTTAGAATGTGCCCTTTTGGGGTTGTGATGCACCAGGACTCGTGGTCAAAACCACAGATCAATTAGATTCTTGCTCTTTGTGAGCCATGTTCTTCACTGATGGAACACAAGAATTGACGATATAATCAACAGGACCATTCAAGAACTTGATTTTGGGTGCAGCCTTGTTTACTACTTGCATTTGTCTCTTCATAGTTAAAAATCTTAAGTACACTATAAATTTTTGACGCATCTCGAATTTTCGTTCTCAAATCTACCTTTTTCACACTTGGAAAATTAATATTAGAACACAATATCCACTAAATGGAAAGAAGAGATGAAAAAGCGTAAAAATTCTTTCTTCCTTGCCAAAATTTTAGTACATCTTTCGTATATGAATATTTATCATGCTTAAGTGCCAAGTGCATGCGAATCTGAGCATCACCGATGAAGCTTCATAACCAATCCTGGGCACCATATGATGCCTTAAGTTCTCTGCATTACTTATTATTTGATGTTCCCAAACTCATTAAGCAATTGGTACTATAGTGTATAATGCCTTGAGGTTAGTATGGGAAGATAGGTGAAACAGGGTCATCTGCTGCAAGCGATATGAATGCTTGTAGTTGCTAGGCCTTTTGCTTACATTATGCGTTTGTGTGTTGGATATCAGATGCGATGGCCTACAACTCATGTTCTCCTCATCACTCCTCCTCCAATTGATGAAGCTGGGCGCCTTCTGTAAAGTTCTTCTATTCTATTCAAACTTCTACAATTGATATGTTTATGTTTTGATAGTTTTGTTTTGATGTCCTTTAGCCGTATGTAATAATTCTTGTTTTTCAGTCATTTGAACTTGTGGTGCTTTTTAATCTTCAAAATCATGCAGATATCCTTATTTTGACAATACATCGGGTCTGCCAGAGAGGACGAATGAAGCTGCTGGTGCTTATGCCAAAGCATGTATTGCTGTTGCTAGAGAACTTGGAATCCCCGTGGTGGATCTGTGGACCAAAATGCAGCGGTTTCCTGACTGGCAAAAATCTTTCTTAGGGTATCACCTGGATTTTCTTAGAGAAATGTCATAGTTTGCATTTTTTTTTCTCTTGTTCTAACATCCATGCAGGAATTCAAGCACACCTTTTCATATCCCCTAGTAATTGGCTGTGATTTCTGTGCTAAATATACATCTTAGCTGCATGTAATGATCTATATCTGGTATATTCTTTTGATCATTGTAGAACATGAGAAATAATAGCACAAACTGTTCAACGATTATAAATGTCATGGATACTATCTATTCATGATTTTATTCAACATCTGGTCTATTTGGTGGTTTATCTATTCATTTTATTTTTGACACCCAAATGCTTATGTTGAATATGGGTGGATAACATGTTGCTTTTGGTTCATGGTTAGTGTTGTGCCTGTCTAAGAAAAGAATAAGGGAACGCTTGCAATGGTAATGATTTTTTCTCATTTGAAATGCAGGGATGGCTTGCACCTCACTTTGGATGGCAATAGAATCGTTTTTGAGGAAGTCATCAACATACTGACGAGGGAAGGCTTGAGTTTGGAAACTCTACCGGTTGATCTCCCACACATAAAAGAGATTGATCCTATTGATCCTCTTAAGGCTTTTAAAATTTAGAAAACATAGCATCTCAATATTTTGGTGTTATTTTCCTGTTATGCCAGTTACAAAATTGGTTAAGTTTGCGTCGTCATATGTGTAAATGTTCTGAATACAGTTCTTTGATACTGCTCGAGTGACATTGTTGTTCATTTTATCTCTTTCAAGTTCCTCTTTAGGCATATTACGACCTGCTTTAATGGCTATGGAACCCAACAAAATGGATGTATATGTGGTTGCCTTTCCTCTTGTTTTTTTTTTGAGTTTTGGAGTTTGTGACTCATGGAAGCAACTTATTTGTTTGGGGTAATTCATCGACATGAGACGTACCACGTTCATCAATTTCTTTCTGCCGTCGTCTACGCTGAACCTCATTCAAGTTCAAAACAGCGCTCAATGGCCACAAAGAATGGCAATTCTATACTGTACCTTTAGTCACAAAATATGAACTGAAATAATATGAAACAAAAGAATCAATATTTATATGTATCTCTACCGAAACAATTGAAAGACTTTTGTTTCTACTAAAAATAAATGGAAGATTTATGTTTCTATGGAAATTGAAACAAATTAGTAATTGGATAAAAAAATTCTCATATTTGGAGATCTTTCAAGATGTTTTTTTACATTCGAAATGTTTTCTGCCAATGTTGGGGGACAATTCTTTAATTTTTTTGGAAAAATTACATTCAGACCCTTTAAGGTTTGTACTTAATTACTTAGACCCCTTGACATTTAAAATATTACACACAGACTCCCTAAAGTTTGTACATGCATAACACTTAAACTTTTATTGTCTCTTTAAAGTTTGTACATGCATAACACTTAAACTTCTGTTGTTAATGTCCATTAGTCTATTTGTTAATAAATTACACCTAGACCCCTTAAATTTATAGGCATAAAACACTTAGACCCTCAAGTTTAAAATATTACACTTAGACCAAAAATATTCCAATTAAAGATAGAATATCAAATATTTTAAATTTTACAACCAAAATTCATGTTCTATTATATCTTTTATTGAAAATAAATCAAAAATAAAAATTCATAATTAGGGTTGTTGATGTCAAAATTTAAATGACATTCACATCAGTTTGTTGGACTTCAATCACCTGAAAAAGAAATCGAAGACCAAAGGGAAGTTTCGGTGGTTGACCCTCAGATGCCTAAGTCTGTAAGTGACTCAAAGATATGAACTGCGTATAGTAATCAATATAAATATATCAAAGAACATAATTCAACACTCATTTACATAAATTTATATTATCTATTGAAATAAAATTAAAAAATCAAATAAGGGATCAAACTATAATGGATACAATATCTTCTATTTTTAATTAGAGTAATTTGATTGTTCAATAGATTCTGTAAGTTTTGTAACTAATAAAGAGTTTAAGTTTAATATTTTAAACTTGAAGGACTTAAGTGTTATACGCCTATAAACTTTAGGGAATCTAAGTATAATTTGCTAATGGATAGACTAACCGACATTGACAACAGAGGTTTAAGTGTTATGTATATATAAACTTCAGGAGGTCTTTCTGTAATATTTCAAATGTTAGGAGATCTAAGTGATTAAGTGACAAAACTTAGGCGAATTGGGTGTAATTTTTCCTAATTTTTTTCACTCTATTTCCATAATATTTTTAAAACACTTTTTATTTCTGAGTTAATCGAAACTATCCGTCAAAATAAAATTTTAATCAACTCTTTAAAACGAAAACCAATGAGGATAGAAGTAACTTTAATTGAGGATAAATTAAGTGTTAGAGTATGTGTGGCTCATATTTGCTATGTGTACAATAGCAAGGAGGCAGATGTTGGAGTGAGATTGCTATATTTTATGTATGGGGGGAACATTGATTAGTTGGGGGTGCGGGGGCAACGCCCCCGCGGTATGATACAGGGATATTTTATAAATACGTTCGTATTAGAGTTATATAAATATTTAAAATGTAACTCTACTTTGAATAATGAAAATAACGGCCGCTCGTTCTTGTGGATGTAGGCACATTGTNCTAAACAAGCATCTCCAAGCCTTCAAATTTGGATTTACATCATGGTCTACATCTGCAACACATTCTACTTGCTCACCTAGCCTGAAATCCTCCTCAACACTAAAATCGAAAAAAATGTTATGGTAGGGTGATTGATAAAGCCAAGTAAGAAAATCTTCTCAAACCCTGACAATGTTTAGAAATCATAAAAACAGGTAAGCCTCTNTTTTTTTAATTGTTTGATTCCTTATTATTCACCATAATTGCTGCACGATCACAACATTAAGATAGTTTGATCATGTTCAACAAAGATCGATAGAGACATCGGTTCGAAAAAGTAATATAATTTCTTTTAATGATACTAGAAGTAAGAGTAGATTTAAATTAAATAAAATATTTAAAAATATTTAACTTAAATTAGCGTATAATACATGATCAAAATGAATGGTGAAAATGAACTGATATAGCTGATCTCAAATAATTGAAATAGAAGACTTGGTTTGGTTTAGTTTTGGTAAACGAAAACCATCTTAAAATTCACACTTCAGGGCCTTCAAAAGAGACGATGCATCTTTGCAGGGTTTTAGTGACTTTCAAGTACCTAATATCAACAGAACAGGGTCTACTAACATAAAACAGAGAAATGGCCCATGGTCTAACCCAAATCACAATGACGGTTGTGCCTTGTCAGGCAGCAGGCCGTTGATTTGTGGGCCAGATCAGCTCGGCCCAATACCAACTCTTGGTTTTATACTATAGGGAGGGAGAAGAAGGGGGAGGAAAATCGAACCTTTGACTTGCTGCTCTATTGTGGAGGGCTTTAACCATCGGGGTAGGACCGAGGATAGTTCTGACCTCGGTCCTAACCTTAGCTTTATATATGCATCCTTTCAAATCCTTGTCAATTTAGGGAATAGTCCTTGTATGCCTTGTATTAGAAAGGAAATGATGAAGTCAGCCATTTTACTCTATTTGTTCCTGCTGAGTTCTACACGTTGTTTGAATACATTTTTCGGATCAAGAATTCTACACTTTGAAGGAAGAAATGAAAAAAATGAGCCTTTGATAATTGAATTACTCTACATAAATTAAGTTACCTTAATCCCCTCCCCGTCTCCTATCCTAATGCCAAAGTATATAAAGAATTACTTGCTCGCCTTATGACAAAAACTTTTGAATAAGTATTCTATTCTATATCTGAACTGAATTTTTTGCGGTTATAAAATTTATTTCTAGTTACTCTTGAATAATTAAAAGATTCTTTAGAAGAAATACGAAGTTCTATTTTGGCGACAACATGCTAGTCATGCAATATTATTAATTGTTTACGAACTTGCTGAGAAAATGCCAGAATGGTGACACTACTTTTTCTTTTGATAGTCAAGAATCATCCCATCATCCATTTTTTCGTCTCCTATTTGTTATGTATATTCTAATTGCACAATCACCTACAAATCATGTACAATGGTAAAATGCAAATTTAGAACCTCGAGATATAAAGCATGGAAATCTTGTCATCTAAGGTGTCCCAGAAGACTGAGATCCCATTCATGTCATTAAAATTGTGCATTTGATGGAAAAACTAACCTATTTTTTCAAGTGAACTACTATTCTAACTTTTCCCTAAGACCATAACTTGTGAGACGCGGACTTATAAATGCATGATATTTTATAAATATTAGGGTTTAATGTGTAATTCATGATAATTAATAGTGGGGGTTAAATTACAATTATTGGAGTTTTGGGAGTTAGATAAAATTTTAAATTATTAAACCTAGGGGTTGATTTAAGTGATTGAAAGTTTTTGGTGTAATATAAGAGATAATAAAATATTAAGTGGTGGGTGTGTGATAAAGGGAAACAAAAAGGGAACCTAAGTGTAATTAGATCAAAAAAGTAAGTCAACTAGACGGGTGTCATTCTTATCTCTCGTTCCGTTTGATTTTAGCATGAACCGGTTCATCACACAGCGGTGGCCCGAGACTGTTTTCGGCCTAAAGCAAAAACGATAAGTGAGATTTTTATTTTTAATATTAATAATAAATTTAATTTTTAATTTTTTTAAATACAAAAATATTAATTAAATTTTTATATTCAAGTTTTTATTATCATATTTAAACTTAATGGTGAGACAGAGAAGGAATGATTGAAAAATTATGATGGTAAATTTAAACTTGACTTTTTTGGGGGTTAAAATTAGATTTTTTTAGTAGTTTAGTTTTACAGTTATTTTTTTTCTTTATTTAAAAAAATAAATTTTAGGACCTTTTAATTTTACAGCTAAATTAATAGACTTAATCTATTTAAGTAAAAATATTTTGTTTAGGCCTGAATTTAAATTTTTTATTTAAATTATTACTGTACACTTATAAATTATGAGTCTTCCTTGAAGTGAGATCTGAATTTTTTTTTTAATTGGACTTGTATTTTTATAAGACTTTTTTGTAGGACTTAAAATATTTATAGATTTAATTTTTTTACATGTACTATTTATAATATTTAAAAATTTGGAACTTTCTTTAAAAATGAGGCCTAAAGCCTAAGTTTTTAATAATAACATTGTTGAGCCACCCCTGTCATCACATATATCTATACTGCTAATAAAATGAAGTTAAGTGCAAAATTTTTGATAACCTATTATGTTCCTATAAAAAATATTAAAGACACTTATATCCTTATTTATTTAATTACCTAATATTAATTATATATTCAAATGAATTTTCATATACTTTCATTTTCACAAAAATTATTGTTTCATGTATTGCACTTTTTTTTTATTTTCTAATTACCTAATATTAATTATAAATTCAAATGACTCTTACTATACTTCAATTTTCACAATATTTACTGTTCCATGTATTATACTTTTATTTATTAATTTATTTCCTGAGTTAATGACTATATCTCTCTTTCTTTTACTTCTTATAAACTTTTTTGTTTACAATAAATCTATTAACCATCTTTACTTTATGAAAAATAATAGATTATAATTAATACAACTATTATGCCATCAATAACCATCATAAAGTTTATTTTATTATTTATTAAATATGAATTAATATGCAGCTTTGCAGACGGTACAAATTTTTGGCAATAAATATATTAATTAATCAAATAGAATTTGAATTACTTCATTTCCCATTTTATAGCTACTTAGATAGTTAATAGTCAAATATTTAATCCCATGAATTTCAATCATAAATTAATAGTAATACTATTTTATTCCTTTCTCATTCTCTCATATTCACGTTTTTTATCTGGTTGTAGGTTATTGCTATTTTCATATGATTTA